GCGGAAGGGAGCTCCCTGCATCTCTCTGATAAAACATGTACGGTGTTGACTGCTGCAGGATCAGATATACAGAGCAACAAGGGAATGCAGTGAGCGGGGACCATCCCTCACTGTGGCGCATTCAGCCCCGAGCACGGGGTGCCGGGGTGCCAGGGCCGTGTAACAATACAGTAACAGTCAGCATGACCACCTGCTTGTCCTGCACAGCACACCAGCCCATGAAGCAGGTACAATTATTCCATTTACACACACGGGGAAATCACATTCAGAGCTTCTACTTATCACCTCCATACTATGTCAGCAACAAATGTTTCTGAAATTAAGTGACTGTGGACTACACACAACACAAGATAGAAACACGTCTGTATTTAGTTACAGACACACCTAAACTGTATCTATGCCTGAATCTCAAGGGAAAGCAGTCTGAAAGCTCAAGAGGGAAAAAAAAAAGTCAGGGTTGAGTTTTCTCACTTGCTACTTCTCACACTTTCTGTCTCCACAACACACACACACATATCCAGCAGGTAAGGGCTGAGTGACCCCTCAGCCGCCGCCCGGCCTTCGTTTAGGGAGTGGCATCTTTATTAAGACACTCATCCTGCCGTCCAGCCTTCAGGAAGCTAGGAGCTGGTCCCGAGGTCCCAGGGGCAGGGCTCTGGTTATCCCCACGAGGAAGAGCTCGCTGGAGTGGACAGGATGCTGCTCACAGGGGGCTGCGGCAGGTCCAGCACGGCCTTAATTTGAGGAACAACAGGCTGGACATAGGGCAGGTGGCTGTTACACCTGGGTCTCACGGCCGATGCCTGGTGGGGACTGAGTCCTGGCTCTGCTGCCCACCCCAGCTCGCGGGCAGGCAGCAGGTGCGGCTCCAGCACCCGTGTCCCTTCTCCTGACAGGGAGGGCCTGGACTGAACCCCGGGTTCCTGGGGGACATAGGCGGAAGTGACCCTGTGGATGCATGTGAACGCTCTGCCAAATGAAGAGACAGGGAACTAGGAACAAGCAGAAAAAAAAGAGAAACTGGGAGACTGGTGTGCAGATTTTGGGTCAAGTGCGGGAAGTAGTATCAAAGATGGGATGCTGTCCAATAAAAGTGTGTGTATTTAAGCCCTTTACAAACAGGTGGGGGTGCACTCGGGGCCGTCCAGTGAGCTCTGGCAGATGGAAATGGCGCTCTCGCCGGGGGAGTGTGCTCAAGGCAGACTTCTTTCCCATACTCCGCTCTGGCGGACCGAGCAGGCCCCTGCTATAGGGGCGGGTGGGATTCTTCCATCGAGCCGGCACAGGGAGAAGGGAAGCGAGCTCGCCTGGCCCAGAGGGAGCCCTCACACGCATGCAATCCCGGAGAAGGACGCGGAGGCGGGCGGCCCGAGGTCGGAGCAGCAGGGAGCGACCCCAGGCCCCGGCCCCGCTGTCACCGCGGTCCCCTACCCTCCAAGGTGACGGTGTCCAGCTCCCGCTGGGAGTGCTCGGCCGCCGGCTTGCCGTCCGCCTCCCCGGCCGCCCCGGTGCCCGCCGCCGCCTCCTCCTTCATTTCCACATCCTGCGGGGCCGGGGCCGGCGGCGGTTCCTGCTCCCCTCCGCCCGGCGGCGGCTTGGCTTTGTCCGCGCCACGGCGCCGCGCCGAGCCCTCCTGCTTCATGGCGCCCGGGGTCGCGGCCTAGTCCGGGCACCGAGGCCGGGGCCTCGCGTCCGTCCTCGCCCCGAGGACCCGGAACTGAGCTCGGCCTGCACACGAGCGCGCGCTCGCGTCGGGCCGCACGATGACGGAGCAGCTGCAAACCCCTTCCCGGCGCACAGCTTTCTGGGGAGGCGCCAGGCCCGGAGGGCCGACGACCGAGCCGACCGAGGCAAGCGAAATCAATCGCCGAGGTGCAGGATGGAGGCGGATCTGCGAGGACGGCGCGGGGAGGAGCCGCTACCGGTCGGGGAGGAGCCGCTACCGGTCCCGGAGGTTTTGCTGTTCCTTTCTGCGTGCATTTCTGAGAATGTACACCAGAGGTCGCCCCCGCCAACGTGAGGTGGGTAGGACCTATCCGCGCGAGCAGAGCGCGATGACGTCAGTGGTTGCGGGGCAGGTTTGCGTCCTAGTCGCTCGAGCCGGGGGTCCCTTGGGAGAGCCGCCAGCTGGGGGCGAGGGAACCCGAGGCTCGTGCAGCTAGGCTGTTGGGGATGAGACGGAACTGGAGGGTCACCAGGACCTTGTGACATCCGCACTTGCTTACTACATTTTAGTTCAGGCCTGGGAGCGCAGGGCGTGGAAGGAGCTTTGCGTAGGGGTCCACTCCTGGGCTGCTCAGGGCCGGCACCGAGGGACCTGCCGAAGTCAGATCCAGAAGGCAGTCCAGCGGTTAGGACTCCAGCTGGAACTCCTGCGTCCCACACGAAAAAGCCTGGGTTGGAGTGCAAACCCCAATTCAATACCAGCTGCTTACTGAGGCACCACCCTGGCCCCAGCAGGTGGTGGCTCAAGTGGTGGGAAGAGCCCTGGAGCCTGAACACATCCTATGCTACCAGCTGGCCCCGCAGTAGGGCCTATATTTTGGTCATCTACTTTTTTTTTCTCTGTCTTTGCATTTTAAGACTTGTTTAACATTTATTTTTTTAAAGATTTTTTTTTTAATGATTATTGGAAAGTCAGATATACAGAGAGGAGGAGAGACAAAGAGGAAGATCTTCTGTGTGCTGATTCACTCCTCAGGTGTGTGCTGCACCAGCGGGAAGCCAGGAGCCTCCTCTGGGTCTCCCACGTGGGTGCAGGGTCCCAAGGCTTTGGGCCATCCTTGACTGCTTTCCCAGGCCACAAGCAGGGAGCTGGATGGGAAGTGAGGCTGCCAGGATACGAACTGGCGCCGGTATGGGATCACGGCACGTGCACGCAAGGTGAGAACCCTTTCCTGTGTGGAAAGCAGCATAAGCAGTAGCAGCTGATGGCTCAAACACTTGGGCCACTCCCACAGACATGGGAGACCTGGATGAAGCCTGATCCTGGTTCAGCCTGATCCATACTGGCTCTTGTGAGTACCTGGGAGGGGTGAACCAGTGGATGCAAACTTTCTCTGCCTTTCAAATAAATAGCATTTAAAAAAAAAACACACACACACACACCACAGCGGACTTACAGATGGCCTATGTACTCTAAGACTTTATCCCTGGAAATTAAGATTCCCTCTCTCCTTAGCCGCCCTTGCTGGGTCTCGTCTTGCCACGGATTCATGACCAACTGCCAGAAGCTGGTCATCATCCCATCCTCCTTTAATTGCTCACCGCCCCCTGCTGGGTGGTTTTCTACTGACTTGCTTTTTTTGTGTGTCGTAAACTTAATAGTCAGGTGAGCTAATGACCTAACCATCCAGCAGGACAACTCCTTGGACTGGGACGCAACAAAGCCCCTCTGTCTTCTCCCTGTGCCACCCGCCTCCTCCCTTGGTCACAGACACAGTGTTATGAAGAAGCTGCTTCGATGAGTTTATTCCAGAGATGCTGTTCCCTGTTCCCCAGCCCCAAGGAGTAAGAAAACAGGGAGGTACCAGTCAGGGCACGTGCCCTACAACTACAGCACAAATTGTGCCATCTAGCTGTTTAATGCAAGAAACTCTACTGCAGTGGTATGAAACAGGAGGATACAAGAGCTCTACGTAGGATACACTTTACAAGTATATGACCAGGGGCCAGCGCCAGGGCTCAACAAACTAATCCTCCACCTCCGAGAGCCAGCATCCCATATGGGTGTTGATTTGGGTTCTGGCAGCTCCACTTCCAATCCAGCTTCCTGTTAATGGCCTGGGAAAGTTGCAGAGGGTGGCCCAAGTCCTTGGGACCCTGTATCCACATTGGAGACCCTGAAGAAGCTCCTGCTTCCTGGCTTCAGAGCGACTCAGCTCTGGCCATTGCAGGCCACTTGGGGAGTGAACCAGCATATGAAAGATCTCCTTCTCTGAAAATCCACCCTTCTAACAAAAATAATTTTTTAAAAAGATTAATTTTTATGAAAGTCAAATTTACAACAGGATCAAACCCAGGCTACGGCAAATGACTCCCTTTCCTTCCGATAGATTCCTTAAAGAAAAACACCAACATTTATCCTACGAGTGACATCAATAAAGCCTTTAAAAAAAGATTTATTTTTATTGCAAAGTCAGATAACAGAGGTGAGGAGAGACAGAGAGGAAGATCTTCCATCCGATGATTCACTCCCTAAGTGACCACAGTGGCTACAGCTACACTGATCCAAAGCCAGGAGCCAGGAGCCTCCTCTGGGTTTCCAAACGGGTGCAGTGTCCCAAGACTTTGGGCCATCCTTGACTGCTTTCCCAGGCCACAGGCAGGCAGCTGGATGGGAAGCAGGGCCGCTGGGATTAGAACCGGAGACCATATGGGATCCAGGTGCATTCAAGGTGAGGACTTTAGCCGCTAGGCTGCCGCGCCAGGCCCATCAATAAAGCCTTTTGGGGCAGATGTACAAGTAGGAGGAATTAGGACAGGGCACTTTTTTTTTTTAATTATTATTTGAAAGAGTGATACAGAGAGTGAAAGACTGATAGGTAGGGAGCCCGAGAAAGAGAGAGGCGGGTGAGGATCTTCCATCAGTTCACTCCTTCAGTAGCCACAGAAGCCTGGGTTGGGCCAGGAACTCCATCCTGGTTTCCCAACTGGTTGGTAAGGGCCCAAGTGCCTGAGTCATCTTCTGTTGTCTTCCTGGACACATTAGCAGGGAGCTGGATTGGAAGCAGGGGAGCTGCTCGAATTGGCACTCTGATATGGGATGCTCTGGGTGAAACTGCTGAGAGTTGACGAAGTCTAAGTGCTTCCACTTCTATAGGATTTCAGCATCCAAAGATGGGCTTCTAGGTGGTGGTGCTGGAGAGCAGGTGGAAACTGCCTATTGCGGGTGAGTGACAACAAGTTTAGTCTTCCTCAGTCTGGTGGCTCTGAGATGCTCTTGGGAGTCAGGACACAGCATGCTGAGGTTGGTAAGGCATTAGGGAAGGAGTGGCACCTTAGGAGGCCTTGGTCAGCAGCTGCAGAAGGGAGAGGCCAGCATACAGGGCACAGAGGTGGGGGAGGGTGTCCGGATCCCACATGTACTGGGGGCCCGACCTCTGCACTTCCAGGCCACTCAGCCCCACCAGGGCTTCGGTGAGGGTCAGTTCCTCTTCCCCGAGGGAGGCCAGCAACTCGGGCCGCAAGGGGAAGACACCCTCTTTATCCTGCAGGAAGTTTTGCTCCATTGCACTCTCCACCTGGATGTAACCAAGACAGAATCAATAGGGAAAAACCGGAATCCTCTCGTCTCCTAACTCCGAAGAAATACCAAACAGGCTGCACACCCCTCTGGCTATGGCTCCTGCAATCCCCTCCAACTCCATCTGGATCTTTGATAGTGGGCAGCACATTGATTTTTGAGTCCCAGTGTATAGAGAGATAAACTGAGGCAGACTTAGAGGTGGTACAAGATTTGCTCACACACTTGCTGGGAGGTTCTCTGTCTTTTCTCCTAAGAGAAGCCTGGTCAATCTGGGTCACTGCCCAGACATTCACACTTGTACTTCTTATTGGGAAATGGTAAGAAGGAGGAGAGGTGAGGGGATGGGGCAGTGGACATGAGTGCACGGGATAAGCCAGGGGCTCACTGGGTTGCTCCTCTCTTTAGGCTAAATCTGCACCTTCCTGCTGGGGCTGGCTACTGCCTCCCAACTCAGCTGCTTGTTTGTTCTCACCAGCTTCAGCTGCACCGGTAGGATCTTTTTCTCCATAGATTTCACCAGCAGTTTCTGTTGGGCTTCACTTAGCACTGGAAAACAAACAAACAAACAAACAAGATGTGTGTTGCTGTGGCAGAGGGAACCGGGACTCCAAATGAGGGAATTTCCACAATTCCAATATTTCATTCATTCATTCATTGATGTTGAATGCTGGCTCTGTGTCAGGCACTTTGCTGGATGTTAGCTAAAGCTTGTACTATGTCAAGGAACTAACAGTCTTGTGGAGAAGACAAAGTGACATGTCAGTGTAATCCAGGGTGTTAAGGAGCTACCATGGAGGGTCTCCCTTGGTCTTGGCAGACTTCCTAATGGAACAAACATCTCAGCTTCAATGTGAAGGGCCCGGGGAGGTTTCCTAAGTGGAGAAATGGTCTATGCTGAGACGGGGAGAGAACGTAGGGGCAAGAACAGATGCTGTTATTCTCTGCAATTAAAGCCAACAGTATCAACCTTGGTGACAAGCTAAAGACCAGGGTTGTTTCTCTGGGTGTCAAGGGCATAGCATACTCTGTCCTTGACCAGGCTTTCTGCTTAAGTGGCCAAGTGAATGCTTAGGAATGAAATTAATTTAAAAAAATGTCAGTAAGAGGGTGAGAGCTTGGCGCAGTGGTTAAATAGCTGCTTGGGACCACAAACGGGGGTCAGCTCGGCCTCACTTTCAGCTTCCTGCTAATCAGAAGGAGCAATGGATGAAGGTTCAAAATATTGCATCTCTGCTACCCACGTGGGAGATTCCCAGTAAGTTCTGGGTTGCTGGCCCAGCTCTGGCTGTGGCAGGCATCTGGGGTGTGAAACAATGGATGGAAGATGTCTGTGTTTCAATTAAAATGATGTCTTTATAATGTAGATATGGGGGAGGTGGTTGACCTAGCAATGAAGTTACTGGCTAGGACGTCCTCATCCCACACTGGAGGGGCAGGCTCACTTCCTGGCTCCACATGGATCCTGGAAGGCAGTGCTGATGGCTTAAGGGGTTCCTGCCACCCATGCTGGAGATCTGGACTGAGCTCCTGGCTCCCCCCTCCTTGGGTTTTACAACTATCTAGGGAGTAAGCCACAGAAAGGGCACACACTCTATCTGTCAAACAAAATATTTAAAATATTATTGATACAGACTACTTAGCTGTGGTATGATGTGCCCAGTATTTATTAATTTAGGAGCTCATTCAAAGTGATTCATTCCTGCTACTGATAGGTCTGTAAACGATCTTATTTCCCACTTACCTGTTAGGGCCCCAAGGAAATAGAGGACGGCACCCATAGCCTCCTTGGACAGTAAGACATCTTTCGGGAGTGCCTCTAGGGTCACTTCGTGTCCTTTGTCTAGAGCCCCTTCAAGCTGTGGGGAAAGATGGGTGACCACTGATGATGACAGGTGGATTTGCCAACACGGCGCTTAGAACCCAATCATCCCGGAGGTGTGCTAACCCTCTTCCGGTCATTCCTATTCTGAGCTATCCAGTGGTGAGGTTCTAGCCTCTTGGCTTCCTTGGCCCCTGGGCTTTGGACACAGAAGAGAGAATCCATCAGGCCTGCTGCCTGCCCTCTGGCCTTATGAAGGAGCCTGTGCCTTGGACCATTATTGCTATTTACTCTTTGTCAGGGGATGAAGGTGACAGTTGGGTCACCGTGGGTTCTCATGGCCTCTGGTTACCTTCTGTCACTGTTAGATCCTCAGCTGGTGCCTGCCCCCCTTTCCTTCCCACACACCTCCCGTCCTTCCGCTTGGCCCCTCACCATGAGCTCCAGGTCTTGCAGCTCCTTTTTCTTCCCTAGAAGTTTGCTGAGGGAGCTGAGCAGGGAGCTTTGTCCTTCTCGGCTCAGCTTCTCCACTTCATGGGTCTCTCTTTGAACCTCTTCTTTGAGGGTTTTGAAGTCCTCGTGTGCCTCTCCTAGGGGATGGTGAATGTGGCCACCAGCTGGCCAGCTGGTACCCGGCCGAGCAGCAAGCATCCTCCCTGTGTGGCTCCACCCGGGCCTCCTCAGCAACCTGTGCCCTGCTCCCAGCTCGAGCCATATCGTGGTTAGCAAGTTGTCCACCAGCCTTCATGTGAGGGCTGGGGCGAGGAGGCAGGTGGGGCCCCTCGGGGTCATGGCACCCAGCTGTCAAGCTTCCCTGAGATCTCACCCCTCACCCTTTGGAAGGACACCTTTAACACCCTGTTCCCTAAGACTGCTCCCTTTCTGGGGAACTGGTGAAGGAGAATGACTTTGGCGAGTGCATGGCCGCCAGGACAGGGCTGTGCCTAAAGGAAGTGGGTCTGTCTGGGATGTGGGGCAGGGAGCTGTAGCCTGGCTCCCTAGGGGCCTGGCATCCCATGGCTATGATCAGCCTGCTTGGGAGATAACAAGTGCCAGAAAGTGATTCAAACTCCAGGATCTAGGACTCAGCCCCCCTGGCTTCCTCTGCTTCTACCCAAATCCTTCTCTTGCCACCTTTATGCCAAAGTCTTGGGGAAAAAAACAACATTCCTTACCAACATCAGATGCCTGGATAACTGAGAAAATAAGAACAACAAAACTGGTAAGAACGGAGCCCTTCAGCGTGGCAGCCCTCCCCAGGGGCAGAGCTACTGAGGGTGAGGGTTACATCCTATCCATCTTCCGGGGCAGGTGGAGGTGGCTCTCTGGTGGCAGGGCCAAGTTGGGAGGAGAAGGAAGGGGCACCAGGAGTGAGATGGCACTGCTGTGACTCAGGGTCTCCTGCCTTGGTGGCCGGGCAGCAGCCGTGGATGGCATACTGTACAAGCGCACAGGTGTGAGGCCTCCAGCACCCTGGCCTTCTTGTCCAAGGGCCTCCCCGCTCCCTCTCCTTCACTGTTGTAACTTGGGCCACCTTGCAGGGATGGGTATTGCTAAGACCAGCACCACCATCTTCCTTGTCCATCCCACAGAGAAGGAAAGAAGAAGGTGGGAGTTTCTGAGTGAGAAAGTCAGTAGAAGCAAAGGACGCACTTACGTGTGAACTTCTCTTCCGGCATTTCTAAGGTGGAAACAACGGCAACCGTCAGCATGAAACTCACTTTGCCTTTTTGTCTAAGGGGGCTCTCGGGGCACTTGATCTAGGCTCATTAGGAAAGTCAGCTCTGCCCCCCTCGCCCTCTGGGAGCACACCCTGTCTCCACATGGCCTTCCTGCTTCCAGGGGTGCCTTTTGGTCTCCCTCTAGCTCTCTGTCCCTTGTGGGTAGGGTTTGCATGTCTCTAGGTTTCCTGAAATTGGGGCTCGACACTTCCAGGGACTTGGGGACAAGGACAGGGCTCCTCGAGGGGTTGCTGTGTGCACTCCTGGGGAGGGGGGACACTCCAGCAGGGAATGCAGGACTGGGGCAGTGGTCGCACTTACCCCCGGGAGGGAAGGTCTGCATGCTATCGTTGCAGATGTGTGGAATGTCTGTAACGGACAGGGGAGGGAGAGCAGGATGACACTTCGCAGCCGCCCCATCAGTCCTTCTCCTAGCCCAAGCTCCAGGGCTCTGTAAGAACTGGGACCTCACCTCTCCCATCTCATCCAATGCCTTGAAGGAAGTAGTAAGTTCCTAAATACTAGTTCCTGCTTCCACCTGTGGCCAGGGATTTCTTCCGGGTGGAAGCGGTGCTTATACATTTTTGTACCCATTCCACCAACTCCCACCAAAGGCACCCTCAAAACCGGGAAATCCCTTCATGCCTCCCTACTGAGCGGCCCTGGGTTCCTGGCCTCCCTCATTTCCTGGCCACAAGAGGGAGCCAGCAGGCCTTGGGATTGCTGTGGGTCTTCCTCCTGCAGGGACAAGGTGCTGTCTGCTTACCCCACTCATCTCTGCCGTTGACCATCAGCTGTCGCACTCGGAAGGCTAGGACACAGCCTTTGGGTATGGTGACAGCCTCCTTGTGGTTCACAGATCCCTAGGGTTAGAAGAGGAAGATGTGTGAGTCCTAAGACTGGGGATGGGAGTGCAGAAGGAAAGAAGGAACAGAACAAGGGCTCGGGGCGCCTGGGGAGAGAAGAAATTGGGAAAAGTGTTGCCTCTGATCAGTTTTCTTCTGGGCTTGCAATTGGTGAGTGGGGCTTCCAGGCCCTCCTGTTCCTTTCCTGTGACATATTCTCTAACAACCTCTGTCTGTCTTCTGGCTTCAGATGGTGGAACCAAACTGGGCAGACCTGTGCCATCACCTGCCTGTGCACCTCTATGGCCCACCTCGAGCTCCCAGGCAGGCCCCGGTCCTGCTTATACTTTGCCACCTGTTCACTCAATTTAACAAGCCTCCGTGACTTAGCTCCTGCTCCCGGCTCCAAATCCCAAGCCAGTCCTGGCAGGCTCAGTAAAGTTAGGTGGATGGAGTGTTGCTTCTTCCCACTGGCTCTTCCAAAACCTGTATCCCCTGGACTTCAGCACACGTGTCTGCTCTGTGAGCAAGAACTCCCTGGGCCTTTCCTTGCCGCCGCCTCCTCCTCCCCTCCCTTCTCTGTTTTTTTCTCTTCCGGGATCAGTTGGCCGAGTGCATGTCACTGTGTGAGTATGAGGGGGTGCACGGGTGTGCATGACTGTGCGTGTGTGTGCACGCATCTACATTCCTGTGAACTTGACTCAGACCTGGAGCCCCAGTGGGGCGAAGAAGGGGAGGGAGAAACAGCCCTCTGCCTTGCCGGCTCTCTCCAGCGTGACCTCCTGCACCGTCTCCACCACCTCCATCACCACGTACAGGTTCTCTCCCCGGTCTCGCATCTCCTTCAGGAATGGGTGGTCTGCTGCCAGCTTCCTGCGGGAGTAGAAATGCCAGGGGGCTGTTGGGCACCTCTGCCCACACACGCTGTCTTCTTCTCTTGCATGCTGTGGCATTGGGGGAGGAGTGAGAGCCCCAGTCTTGACACACAGAGCTGCAGCTGACCAGGTGGGTCTGAGCTGCTTGGACTAGAAAATGAGTGTGGTGATGCCGTCCTCCAGGGTTAAGATAAACCATGATCACGTGGTGCGGCACCTGGCCGGGACAGGTGGAGAAGCAGGCGAGGGAGGAGGAGGAGGAGGGCTATTGCTTCCTCCTCCTCCCTTCCCTCTTTGTTTCTCTCCATCTCCTCTCCCCTCTCTTGCCGGTAACACCAGTTCCTCCTCACTACTTGCTCCTTCTGTGTGCTTCATAATGTATGCATCTCCGTGACCCTAAGCATTTCACTTCTTTAATCTTGCTACTTCCTCAAGTCACCACCCTCCTTCCCCTCACTCCCTTGGCCAATGTCTTAAAAAAAAAATACACCCACTCCATCTGTCTCCTCCCTCTCTACTCACTCCCTACTCCCCACTCCTGAATTCCTGACTGGCTTCCATTTCCTCTTCCCTGTGGAAACCATAGCGATTCCTCCCCAACCAGTCCAATGACCTTCCCCAGCAATGACGACACCAGGTCCTACTGAGCAGACCCTGCGCAGACCAGCATCTTCTCCCACTTTCCATTCGCCCTGTCTGACCCCGGATCTCCTATCTGTCTGATTAGGCTTCCAGGTTTTGCCTGTTCTGCCTGCATCCCATTTTCCCGTTGATTCGGTTTGCTGAAATGCTATGTCCTCTGAGGTTCTGTTCTCTCATCTCTGTTCTCCGTCCACTTCCCATTGGCTGTAACCTATGTGTGACTGCCCACCACAGCTGTATATCCTCTCAGGCCTTTCTTCTGAGCATCACATCCTTGTTCTAGCTACCTGCTGACCATTCTCAGGGGAGCCACAGGTTCAAACACCCAGCAGGAACCCATATCAGGTCCCTCCCAGAACCACCTCTGCCTCTGCCTCCCTGTTATCTGTCACGGGCCATCCCCTGGTCTGCAGTGCCACAGCTGGATGGGGTCTCAGGGTCCCCTCTCACGAAGCCCTCTGCCTCGTCCTGCAGTGTGCTGCAATGGCCCTGGCCGCTGTCCTCCCCTCGTCAGCCTGAGTACCTACTCCCAGCTCAGGTCTCCGTGTCCCCCCTCTCTTGATGCACAGTGCCACGCATGTCTTTCCCAGTCTGCCCACTTCCAATCCCTGTCTCCATCTGAAACACTTGCGCCATGTGGCCAGATTAATCATGAGACACATCAGAGCCTCAACAAGGCCGCTCCGTCTATAGGATGCAGGTGTTTCAATCACCTTGACCTGGCACTTGGCTTCTCTGTGGTCTGGCCCACATTGCATCACCTACCTATTGCACTCATATATTTTCTGCTTGGGTCACTGTGGCTATTCATGGTCCCTTATTGGTTTAAAAGAGTAAAACAAAACAAGAAGAGGGAGAGAAGGAGAAAGAGAGAGATCTTTTATGTTCATTCCTCCAATGCCTGCAGCCTCTGGGGAAAGGGCAGGCCTGAACCAGAAGTTCATTCAGGCCTCCCCACGAGTTCCCGCAGGGACCCAAGGATTTGAGCCTCCTCCTGGTGCCTCCCAGAGGGCATGTTAGCTGCAAGTTGGAATGAGAAGCAGAGATGGGACTTGAACCCGGTCACTCCAACATGAGATACAGTTGTCCCAAGCGGTGGCTTAACTGTTGCCCCAAGCTCTCATCCGTTTTCCTTCCTGCTCAGCCCTTGCCGCCAACATTAATTTTGAGAGTTCTTTCAATTGGGTGTCTTTGTGACATCTTTCTACCAGCTCTGCAGGTCCAACTTCTGCTCGCCTCTCAAGGCCTAGGTCAAGGGCTACCACCTGCCAGTGGTAGAACTTACTTTCCGAGTGAGAAGTCTGTCTGACCTGCCCCAAGACCAAGATCATTTCTGTAGCACTTACAGCGGCTTGCCTTGGATTCTAGTCACTGTTGCATATTTTCATCACACTTCTAGCTTCCAAACTTCTTGGACAAGGATGTGCCACATGAACACTAGCATGAGCTAGGGCGTTTTGCCCCCCAGGAGGCTTTCTGATAGCTGCCTGAGCTCCTCAGCCCTTCCTTCCGGCTGGCCCAATTCTCCCCTCCATCCAAGCACTACTTAACTACTACTTAAAAGTCAGCTTCCCGGCCAGGCCAAACATCCGGAGTACCAGACATCAGCATGGCATCAGCCACACCCTTTGTGCTGCTGGGGCAGCGCTCCTGAGGGCATGCCAAGTGTGTGCCTCACGCTGGGTGGGAAGCTTCCTTTATGGAAGCAACATGCCGTGCTCGGCCACAGGAGGGAGCAGGCCAGGGCGACCCCACCTTCCTGGTGTATTTCATAGTCCTAGCGCTGATCCTGGGACTTCATCATATTGCAGGGAAGAAAATCAGGGTCCCAAGAGATCACACCAGAAGTTCATATGGGCATTCTCATCCCACCTGTGGGGAGGCAGACAACCGCAGGGGCCAGCGGATGGCCTGGGTGCACAGGCATGCCGCACAGGGCAATGTCAGAGTGGTCCTATGGGCACAGGCCAAAGTGAAGGCTTCACTCTTTAGCTGACACTGAAAGCGTCCTTCCATGTGCTGCCCAACCCTGGTTCCCTGCTAGCCTCAGGACCCCCATGCGTCTCACCTCTCCTCATGTAAGGCTCCCAGGGCCTTGGGCGCCACACTGAGCGTTTGCACCTCCAGGGTGCTGTTCCGTGACAGCCCCGCCGTCCCTGTCACCTTCACCGTCTTTGGCACATCCACCTCTCCCTCCACTCGGGCATCTAGCATGTTCTTAAAGCCAAAGTTTCCAGAGTCTGTTGGATCTGTAGGAGGGAGGAGACAAAAGTGGGGGGGGTCTGTCCGAGTCTCACCCCTCGTGCCTCCTGCTGCCTTGGCCACCCACGTCTGGCTAGAGGCAGCCTCAGAGTCTTCCTCCCCCGCAGGCCAGGTGGCCACCCCCACCCCTGGGCCTTGGCAGCCCTCAGAGCCCAGGCCTAGGTTCACCTGAAGGGGCACTGCCAGGCTGCAGCACGTCCAGGAGGGTATAGTCAGTGCGGACGTATCGGGCCCCCCAAAAGAGTGTGCTCTTCCTCTTCCTCAGCACCAGGCAGAAGGGGTGGAAGCGTTTGAAGTCGATGAGGCTGTCAAGGGGTGTCAGGTCCCCCCGAGGGTTCAGCTGTCTGGCCAGGGCCCGGGTGACATTTTCAAACATAGTCATTGTCTCTGTGAGGGCGAAGTGGAAAGGGGAGAGGTTGCAAAGGCTGCCCAGAGGAACCGGGGCAGGGCCAGGCCGTGGCGGAGCCCCATCCGAGGTGTCTCCTTGGCATGCTGAGTGAGCCAGAGCTCCAGAACCCCCACACTGACTAGGCAAGCCAGTCCGACCCTTTCTTTTGTGTCTAGGGGACAAAGATCTTTCTCTCTGCACGCTCCTTCTCCTGGCAGACTGTTAACAGGAGCATTTTATCAGCTTCCTCTCACATCAGAAAACAACCTCAGGGAAGGGAAGTGGCCGCTCCTAGGGTGGGGAGAGCTGTGCACCTGCTCCTGTTGTCCCTTCATTGGGTACAATGAAGTGCACTCTGCCGCAGTACCCTGGCCCTTCCTATGCCCACCTCCTGGCTCTGGGGCACGGGCAGACCACTTCCCTCCAGGGAGCACCCGCCCCACGTAGCCAAGGGCTTTGACACTCTTGTGTTTGTTCCCCCTGCTCACCACATCCCTCCTCCTATCTGAAGAGGTGCCAGTCACCCTCTGGGACCCAGGCAGGGTCATTTCCCCATGACCCTTGCCCACATTCCCCTTAGGCAGCTGCTGGCTCCACCAGAGTTCCCAAGACACATTGGCCATCTCCTTCTGAAACACCTGCCACCTCGTTTGATCCGTTCCTATGCCTCTTACCCACTTGATTGGATCTGTCACATCCACAGCATCAGCACCACGCAACGTGCTGGAGCTCGGTGTATGTGTGTGTGGAAAGAATGAACACATGGAAGATTACAGCCCTGGGGTGAGAGGGCCCCCAGAGATGTGATGGCTGCGACAGCCAAAGGTTTACTACCTTAGCTCATTGCCTTTGAACTTCAAGTCCAGGCGCTCCAGTTGGGTGGCCAGCCGGCACACCCAAATTATCCCTGTGGGTGGGAAAGGGCAGCCCAGCTACCCTAGGAGCGCCCCACCTTTCCTGCAGGTGCCTCCTGGAAGTTAGGGGAGTGGGAGGCATGGGCATAAATGTGAAGAGTCATCCTACCAGATCCAAGGTGCCTTCTCGTCGCTCATTGCTGGGAGGGCCAGGATGGCCGTATAGCATCCTAGACCAGCTGGTACTGTGACGGTCTCACCCGAGAGGGGCTCACAGGGATACCCCTCCTTGTTCTCCCCAAGGCCTATCTCCCCCTGTGGGATTCCGGGAAGGCCCATGCCCTTCTGGTCCCACCCATTTTCCTACCCTCCCCTAAACAGGATCTGCCTCCTCTTACCAGGGAGTGGTGCTGGGTCCTGTCCACAGCTGGGTGTACGGGGATGGCGCGTGGCTCCCTTGGTCCCTAGGTTGAGTGAATGACTGTCCCTTGCCAGGACAGGCTGTTTTATACCTCTGGAGGCAGGGATGGAGGCTTTTAGAGACCCAATTCCCTCCTCCTGCTTCATTTCCGGGAGAACAGCATCAACCTGTTCCACGTGTGCCCTGCCCCAGGCCCTGGGCACTGGCCTCCTGAGGGCTGAGGGGGTGGGTGGAGAGCTGCCAGGCAGGTGCCAGCGTGGGTGGGAGCAGCCAGGGCTGGGAAAGAGGTGACAGCTCAAGGCTGGCCCATAGTCACAGTGGGCTGTGTGTGCAAGGGCGTGTGTGTGAGTGATGAGAGAAGACAGGCTGTCAGTGTCATGGGCATCAGGAAGTCCTGTTGTCGCCTTGCAGGTGCAGGTGTGATAAGGGGATGAGAAGTCCTCTGTTGGCCAGCAAAATCTAGTAGAGACTCAGACTGGGCCTGCCTCCTCTTCACACAGCAGGGCGTGTCTCTGCAGCTCCCTCCCTTTGTTTCAGCTCACAGGCAGCCCCAAGTGCCCCTAGACGTGAGGGTCTAAGAAGGCTTGGTATTCCATGACACTGTTTCCCATGGGACAGCATGTACCATGCAGGCACCGACAGCGGAGATGCGTGGCGTGGGGCACAGGGAGACAGTTGTGTCCCCCTTCTCAGAACTGTTCTCTGCTTCTGATCCAGCTCCCTGCTAATGCACCTGGGACGTCATGCCTGATGCCCAAGTGCTTAGGTCCCTGCCACCCACACACGAGACTCAGTTGGAGTTCTCTGCTCCTGGCTCCCATCTGACCTAGCCTTGCCTGTTTTGGGCTTTGGGGATGTTAATCAGAAGATAAAGATGTGTCTCTCCCCTTCTTCCTAAGTCTTTAAACAAATCTTTAAACAGAACAAGGTAAAACCTTGCCTAGCTGCCTCTCTGGCCCCTACCCTCTGCCACTTTGGCTCGTCTCCCTTCCCAGACATCTCTGACACCTCTTCTGACAGCTCTCTTAGCACAGCCAGAGAGCTCTCTGCCCCGGGGATGTGTGTGGTGTCATTCGGCCCCTGCCTCACCTGCACATGCATGTTAAAAGGGGCAGCGTGCGTTGTGGTCTTACCATCTCGAGGTCTTGTTTTTCCAGGTTCTTCCTCTCCATCTCATGATCAGTCTGTTGACACCTGCATCAGCTCTGCCTTTCGTCAGCTCCAGGACCCGCCCCATCAGCAGTCCACCCTGCTTTGGTGCCTTGGGCACACTTCTGGGGCTTTTATTTGTTTTAGATGTGTTTGTTTTAAAGGCAGAATCACAGACACACACACACACAGTTGCTGATGTGCATCCTCCAAATGGCTGCAATAACTACTGCTGGGCCAAGCCGAAGCCAGGAGCCAGCCAGGAGCTTCATCCGGGTCTCTCACATGGGTGCTAAGGACCTAGGCTATTGAGCCATCATCCTCTGCTGTTTTCCCAGGCACATTAGTGGGGGGCTAGAATGGAAGTGGAGCAACCAGGACTTGAACTAGCCCCCATTGGGGATGTTGGTGTCTGAGGCAGTGGTTTAACCTAATGTGCCCCGACACTGATCCCTGGGAGTTTGTTCCTGGTATCTCCTCCCATTTATTCTAGCCAGGGTTTCTGGTCCAGCTCATCTTCCCAAGACATGGAGAACAGTGGGTTTGCAAAGTCACCCACATGTCTCTTCTCGCAGACCCCAAGACTGCACAGCCGGCTCACTCTCCTCTGACCCCCAGGCTTTCCTCCTTTTGTTTCTCTTGTTCCTTCATCCTCTGTGACCTCAGAGCACTCCACCAGCCCTCCTGCAGTCTCCCTGCCCAATCCCCCATTGCCCCAAACTGCCTAACCGTCTTCCAGGAGGGGACTTTGAGGGTTTCACCCCGGGGATCAACCAGAGTGAAATCTTGTGCTTTTGTAATGACAACATCCACATTCAGGCTTGTTCTTTATGTCCTTCTCATGCAGGATGCTTTTACATATAAAATATAAATATTATATAATATATAACAATATAATATATAAATAATATATAATAAAATACAATATAAATTTTATTAATATAACATAACATATAATACTAATAAATACATCATATAATACATAAATATAATACTTTTACATTGTATTTATAAACAATATAGAATAAATATGACATAAGTCCATATATAGATGGTATATATATGTGGTATATATAGTATATATGTATATATAATATGTTTAAATATATTTTATTTGAAACTCAGACATACAGAGAAAACGACAGATGTTACATCAGCTTGTCCACAGGACTGGAAGGGGAGCAATTAGGATGTTTTTATTTATTTCTTTGCTTCCTACACCTGTGGTCTTAGGGAGGGACCAGAGTCACTTTAGAATCCAGTTTCCTCCTTGGAGTACTGGTGTATGATCATGAGGAGATGGAATAAAATTTACCTTGCATTGGAGGAGATTTAAGTTTAGTACATCAGGGCTCCCTAGCCCGGGGAAGAGCAGCTTAATGTTGAAATTGGAGGCACTGAGGCACAAGGCAGGCGTTGCTCTCTGCCTCCCTCTGGTGGTCAGTCAAGGTATGTGCTGAGAGATCACTGCTGCCAGGCGACCAAGGCAGGGACTTTGATTTAAAGGAAAGGGTTGAGTTAGGACAGGAAGCCTCCTTAATGTCTTTCTGTGACATATAATGTATTCCAGACAGACACCGATGGGGAATTGCACTATTTTCTTTTTTTAAAAAATATTTACTATTATACACAGATGGGGGAGAATCAGATCTTCCATTTGCTGGTTCAGCTGGCTGCAACTGCTGGGGCTAGCCCAGACAGAAGCCAGAAGCCTGGGGCTTCTCTCGGGTTTCCGCAGGGCCCAGAACTTGGACATTTTCCATTGCTTTCACTGGCACATTAGTAGGGAGCTGGATTGGAAATAGAGCAGCCAGGACTAGAACCGGTGCCGTTATGGGATGCCAGTGTCTTAGGTGGTGGTTTTACCTGCTATGGCCAGAGCTGGCTCCTCTCTTTTATTTTTTGAAGTCATATATTTAAAAATTATGAGTTGGAAACACAGCTAGACACGGAGAGGGCCTGTAATGGCAGGCTCATTCCCCACACTCTGCAATAGCCAGGTCAAGACCAGCACCTGCTCTGAGAAAGAGGAGGTGGAATGGTTAGGGATGAAGATGGAATGGAATAAGGGAGAAAGGCAGGGAGAATCCTGTCCATTACCGTGAGTGTTTCGAACCTTGTATGGGAGGTTGGAAGTTTGGGGTCCACTTAGTGAGCTCTGCTTAGATAAATGATCCTTTCTAAGCAGAGGAAAAAAATTCATAGTATTTTTTAATCCAGTGAATGTCTTTGAGGTTACTTACCAGATTTCCAGGTCCATTTTGGAGCCCAGGACCTCTTCAACCTCTGGCTGAGCAGGCACTGCCCTTCAGGCAGCTGACTCTGTGGCAGGCCCATGCTGATACAGCAGGAACAGGTGTCACAGCTGCTGTCTCCCTCCTGGCTACAGCAAGAGGCTCTGCCTTCTCACTGTCACTGCTGGGCCTTCCCAAAGCTCCCAGAACCTTGCTGAGGGAATGGGTCCCGTACTTGCTTGGTCAGCACATACACTAAAGTTGGAACGAGACAGGGTCCCAGGGTGGGGAAGCAGATGCAGAGATGAGGAGGGAGTTCCTGGCTCCCAGCTTCAACTTGGCCCAGCCCTGGCTGTTGTAGTCATATGGAAAGTAAAGCAGCTGGTGGAAGATCTCCTTCTCTGTTTCTGGGTTTTTCATGTAAACAAACAAATATCGAGAGACACAGAGAGATGGAGAGAGAGAGAGACAGGCTCCTGCATGGAGCTTCTGAAGCTAAGAAAGGCTTGGAGTCCCACGTCCTCTCTATCTTTAACAGCTCCTCCAGACCCATACCCAAGCCCTGCTCTGCTGCCCCAGCTGTGACTGCTGCTGGGGATCGTTGGCAGATAAAATGTCTGAAGCGTGGCCAGTGCCATGCCACAGTGTGTCACCATGGCAGGTCTCCCATGTGGGCGACAGGGACCCAAGCATTTGGCCATTGTTTTGTTGCTTTTCTAAGGAGAGAGCTGGATCAGAAGTGGAGCAGCCGGGACACGAACTGGCATCCATGATACGCTGGTGCTTGCAAGTAGAGGATGAGCCTGTTGAGACTGCCGACCCCAGGAATTCTTTCAAATGACCTTTGTTAACAGGTGTCTGCAGTTTGCTGACCTTGTGAAAAGCACATTGTAAACTTTTATTACAAATTTAAAAATGAAGTTCTTCAAAACAACCTCTATTTGATCAGACAGGAAATAATGTAGAAACCTTTTGTACTGAGAAACAGACACAGGCACACACATCATTATCCAAAAGACACATCTTTAGGTGAATAAATCAAAGCACCACACTGCAAAGAACATGTGGACAGTCCCATAATCTGGTCAACGGGCAAAGAGCAAGCTGGCATCCAGTCACACTCATTTCTTCTTGTGGGGTGACTACAGCAGATGACGGTGTTTACTCAGCCTCGAACGGGGTGAAGTCTCAGCTGGTGGAGCTGCTGCTTTTGTCTCTGCCATCCTGTGCCTTAGGACTTTCTGGAGGCCGAGGGGGCTGCTGACCCTCTCCACTGCCGTCCTCTCTGGACTGTCTCTGGAAAGGAGGCTGCTGCACAGTTCTGCTCTACAACCCGGATGCAGATGCCGCCCCACAGGTCTCCCTTGCTCTCTGTCCCCTCGTGGTCAGCAGTGCAGTAGGGCCTGGCCTGTGGGAGTCCTCCGGGATCCCTCACTGCTCTCCCTACTCTCCTCCCCGTGCGGGTAAGTGCTGGTCACTGTGTGGAAGATCCCTACGCACAGCTGCAGTCGCTATACTGGGGCTCCACCAGGGCCTGAACACTGGCTGCCTCCCCTCCACACCCTTTTCTGCTTCAACAACATCACATTCACAGTCCCTCCATCTCCCACACTACAGAGGCAATTACTTATGGCAGTACAAATATGTCTTCCCTGTAATAAAACCATTTCCAAGGGCCCAGTGCAGTAGCCTAGTGGCTAAATTCTTGCCTTTCATCCTCTGGGATCCCATCTGAGCACCTGTTTGTATACTGGCTGTTCCACTTCCCATCCAGCTCCCTGCCTGTGGCCTGAGAAAGCAGTCAAGGACGGCCCAAAGCCTTGGGACCCTGCACCCACATGGGAGACCCGGAAGAAACTCCTGGCTCCCGGCTTTGGATTGGCTCAGCTCTGGCCGTTGTGGCTATTTGGGAAGTGAACCAATGGACAGAAGGTCTTTCTGTCTCTCCTCTCTGTGAATCTGCTTTTCCAATAAAAATGAGTAGCTGCCAAACATTTTTGAACAAGGAGCTTTGCATTTTTGCTCTGCATTGGCATCCATGAACTGTGTGGCTGGTCCTCTTGGTATCATCGGGCCTAACTGGGAGGCCTGGCACACCACACACTGCACTCAACTCACCTCTCGCCCAGCGCCAGCAAGCAGAGGATGCTGCTGGCCGTGACTGCTCACATCTCTGCCTCCTTACCCTAAACTGGCTTGCTACGATCAGGCCCATCCACCCTGCAGAGGTGGGAAGTACGTGCGTGTGGGGGTTGGGGTTGGAGCCTGGTCTCCTGGCCCAGAATACCCACTTTCGCCCAGCTCTCTCTCAGTTGAAAGCACCTTAAATAGGGGCAGGCGATTTGGTGCATATCGTGGTTTGCTTGGGACACCTTCACCCAACACTGGGACGCTTGGCTTTGAGTCTCTGTTCCATTCCTGACTCCATCTTCCTGCAGGCAAATGGAGCATGAACGGCTAGTGGGGACTCTCCATCTCTTTGCCTTTCAGGTTAAAAAAGACATGTATTTTTTAATGGCCCGGCGGACATTCAGCATGTTAAGCCACTGCATGAGATGACTAGTATCCCGTATGTGCACCTGTTGGGAGTTGAGGCTGCTCTGCTTCAGATCCCGCTCCCTGCTGATGCGCCTGGGAGAGCAATGTGGGACGCCCAAGAACTTGGGCCCCTGCGCCCCTGTGGGAGACCCTGCTGGACCTCCTGGCTTCTGTCTGGCCCAGCCCAGGGCTGTTGTAGCCATCTGGGGAGTGAACCAGTGGAGGGAGGATGTCCCTCTCTCTTGCCTCTCTATCTTTCAAATGAATAAAATACTCTTTAACAGCTTTTTAGACGAAGCCTCCTAGATCAACTCCCTTCCACCCCAACTCTGGCGCTCCTCCTCCGTGGCTCCGCCTCCTGGACGCAGCTCCGCCCACAGCCGTCTTGGGCCCCGCCTCCCGCCCCATAGTTCTTCACTACCACTCAGCCCCGCCCCGAGCCTTGCCGTCCGCAACCCCGCCCACTCTGCTCTAGTCCCGCCCCTGCCGCTCCAGCCCGCCCCTCGCCTCGAGGCCTGCGCACTGCGTGCTCTGATGTCATCCGTAGCCCCGCCCCACAGTGCGCGCTCTCGCGGGCGGTTCTCCGGTTCCTCAGCCGCTCGTCCCCTACCTCACCCTGCAGCGCCCCGTTTCAGGCCGGGGTACAGGACGGTGGTGCCGGGGACCGCACCCCTTTGCACCCGCCTCGCTTTGCGGCTCCCCCGACTCCAAGGCACAGGTCTGGGACTCGAGTCCTGCTCCTTTCCTGCAACCCCACTTGGAAAGGTGGTTCATGGTAGGATTACGAGTGGGCTGTGCGGGATGCTCGTCTCCTTGCAGTTTTCAGTGGGCGCGGAGGACCCTGTGGAGGGAGAGGGCCGCGCTCTGTCACCATACATGGCTGCCCTAGATGAACTTGTGTTTGCACACACCCTCCTGCACCCGGGTGCTGCCCTGGGGCCTTAGCCCAGTGGCATCTCAGGACCTGGTCCCTGTGATTCCTGGTCCCCGACAGAGATGAGAATGGAGGGTGTTAGAATATCTGCCATTCCTATAACAAAATATCAGAGACTGTTGACTTATGAATAAAAGGTTTATTTAGTTCACAGTTTTAGAAGTGGGAGGTCCAAACAGCTTCAGGCGTGGTACATCCCGTCATAGCAGGTGGCATCTTAGCAGGAGCATGTGTGAGAAGAGCATGGAGGGATAAGAAGTCGGGAGGGAAGTGGTTTTGTACACAGCCTTTCATCTAAGATCCCTCCCTCTCATTAGTTCAAACATCTCTGCAAAGAAAGCTTCAAGCTCAACCACCGCCAGGGCCTGGCCACCTCTTCAGTGCCCCCATTGCTGCTGCCATTGCCGCTCCCATCGCTGTTAGTATGCAGGCCACCTGCTATCTCTGTCCTTTCCTTTCCCACTACCAAGGATTCTGAGTCTAACAAATCCAGCCAAAGGGTAGACTCTCTTCAAAATCAGGCATCTGAGATAGTGTTGGGAGAAACAGAGAGAGAGAGAGACCAGATATTTAGGAGATATGGAGTCTACAGGGTGGGGTGGGATGAGGGGCTGGGTGGCGTTGCAGAGGAGGAAATGGGGCTACAGGGTAGGGTTCTCTCATCATTACACCACTGTGCTGAAGGTAGAGGATTCCTCTGAGCGCACGGCTACCACCGGGGCCCTCTTGGGCGGGTGTCGGGTCTCATCCCGGTTCTGCCACATATAGTGGACCAGATAAGCCACCACTAGCATCAGCCAGCCCCCCATGGTTACCAGCAGGGCCATATCGGTGCTCCGCTGGGCCCCACCACGTCCGATCCCACACAGTTCTTCCTCCCCTGCCAGTAGCAGGAACTCCTGTCCGACCAGGTCTGGTCGGGCTCCAGGGCCACACACAATGCCTGTCCCAGTGCCTGGTGCCAGCCTCACTTGCCTGAGCACTTCCTGGAGGGCACAGTCGCAGTGCCATGGGTTGGCAGAGAGGTTCACTTGAATCTGTAGCCCCACGAAGGCCTCCACAGGCACTGAGGCCAGCTGATTGGCAGAGAGATCAAGGAGGTGCAGGGTACCCTCCAGGCCCTGGAAAGCAGCCCCTGAGAGGTATTCAAGGACGTTGTGGGACAGATCTAGCTCCTCCAGGACAGGCAGGTGCTGGAAGGCGCCAGCTGGCACCAATGCCAGCTTGTTGGCATCCAGGTAGAGCTTGCGGGTGTCGTTGGGGATGCCAGAGGGCATGGAACTCAAGCCTGCCTGGCTGCAGCGGAACGTCCGCTCACCAGCTTCCTCTGCCACATAGCAGCCCTGAGGAGGTGCCTGGGGGCTGGGCACAGTACCCCCTGTGCCTGTCAGCAGCAGGAGGGTCAGGAGGCAGCTGGTTGATGGGAGCAAGGCCATAGGTTGGCATAGTCCTGGAGTGGAGCAGGACCTGGGGGAGAAAAGACCAGGAAAGGGAAGAGTCAGTCAGCAACCCTGTCCCCACTGCCAGTGCTGCTCTTCTTGGGGCCCTCTGTGGTCTTGGGCTGCCACCTTGCCTTGGGGACTCTCTCAGCTGGAGAGACTTTCTTGTTCTCTTCTGTGGGTCTCTTGATCTAGGACTCCTCAGTAGGAGCCTTGAGTAAAAAGGTCTCCCAGGCTTGAGCCTCTGCTAGGGCCTCTTGATTCTGGATGGTTAACCAAGAGTTTTTAGCCCAATACCCTGTTGGTCATTCCAGATCTTGGGGTCTCTAAACTTCTGTCTTTGCCCATGAATTGATTTCCCTCAATAGAATGAAGTCTTTTCCCTCCTACTTCCTATCTAGGTGGCTGCCAACTGGGCCAGGTGGGCAGCTGAGGGTCTGATTGGCACTAGTAAGAAGGGAGACAAAGAAGAGCAGTGCTAGGACTTTGAAGTGTCCAGCTAGACAAGACACCTGGGTACAATGTACCTCTGGCTCCACAGCGCTTTCCCAGGAGCATCCACCCTTCCTGCCTGCTCCAGCTCTGTCCTCTCTGCCCTGCATGCCCTCCCATCCTCTCCCTCTTCCCAGCTTCTCACCCCTGTTGCTGGCAGAGCCTTCAGAGTTGTTGCCCTCTCCCCAGGAGTGCTTGCCCGGCTCTGGAGACCCCCTTCTTCCTCCAGATGTCCTGTTTGCGTGAAGTTGCTGGGTGCTGGGTGCTGGGGGCTGGGGCCCCGGCAGTGTTGGGTTTCCTGGCATATGACTCTGGGCCCCAGGTGTCGGATACCTGAGCCATGGCCTGGCCAGGTGATGCCAAGAGAGGGCAGATCCTGGACCCTGATAAACTGCTGGGAGACCCCAATTCTATTCCATACCTGTGGCCTCCACTCCCAAGATTGCATGTTGCCATCTTGCATCATCCCTCACCCAGCAGAGGCTGAGACTATCTTCCCAAACTTCTCTTGTCCAAAACCTGGCTGGATAGTAGGATCCTTGCTTGGCAGCCCTGGTGAGCACAACAGGATGGGCCCTAACTCACCATCCGTTGCCTCCAGCAATCTGTATCCCCTCAGCACCATCTTTCCTCCTACTGGCCTCTGCCCTGCCACCTTTCCTATTGCACCCTCTTTCCCCAGACTTTTTCTTAGAAATGTTGTCTCCTGGCTCCTCACAGTGCCCAAAGCTCTTGCCGCCAGGGGGCGCTATGGTTCAATTTAGTTTGTATTCCATGTGATTAGTGGATAGTAACTGGGAATTGGAAGGCCTTTGGATACTCTGCCTCTGTTGCTCTGGAGACTGGTTCCCTTAATTCCCTTGGCCCTCAGATCCACACCTTGCCACCCTGTAGCCTTGTCTTCTGTGGTTCCATTCCACTCATAACAATCTCCCATTTATTCTTGAATTTAGAACCTCAACTGATCGATAGATCTCTAAGGAATGGACCATCTAATTTGGTCCTCTTAGGATACAGGCAGGTAAACTGAGACCAAGAGTATGGAGTGTGAGCACAACTACACGGCAGGTCAGTGGCCACATTTCCTGATTCCTCCAACCCCTTTCCATTCCCGTCAGCACCTCTCTTTCCCCTATAGTACCCTTGCCATGTCCTGTGTAAGCCTGTAATGCCTGGTGATGTTCACAGTGGAGTAGGGACCCCTTGGGTCACTCCTGCTAGGTGAGATGGGTGGAGGGGAATAGCGGCATGGGGTATCACAGAGCCTGAGGAGGAGAGATTTGCCTGAAGGAAGATGAGGTCAGATGGTGTGCAGAGCTTTCTGAGGAGAAACACCTGGCTGGATTTTGTAAGAGGTTGTAGGTGAGCAGGACTGGACACATAATTGCCAAGTCCAGTGAAAGATAAAATGTGGGGCGCTTTGTGCAAGAACTGTTAAGGATTCCATGGCAGTGGTAGCAGAGAGTAAAATCAAGCGTAGGGCACTTGTGACCACAGAGCTGGGGCCTTGCACAAGTGCACAGGCTGCTCGTTCTCGAAGGCCAGCCTGTGGCTTACCTTTGAACAGGTAGTTTCAGAAACACATGGTGTCGGGGACCAGATGATATCAGCTCTGGGATATCAGATGATATCAGTCAGTAGTCACCCTGACTCATCGCTCTGATGTCAGCGGGGGTATTTCTCAGACTCACATTGGTCCAGAGAATCGGGTAAGATTCGTTTTCTACATGTGGGCAGGAGAAGCAAAAATTTTCTCTGCGTGTTGCTAGTGAGGCCAGGCACTCTGCTACTGAATGGTTGGGTGTCCATTTTGGGGCAATGGTGGATTATGGGGTAGAAAGCTTGGGGAGTCCCCTCATCCTGCTGTTCTCTCATTTTGGTCAGACAGTTTAGCTGAGCCCCATGGGCTGGGCCTGGTTGTTAACAGCCAGTTTATCTCTTTCTCAGACCAGGGCAGCTGCTAGCAGAGTAGGACTGAACTATTTGGCTCGGCAGCTGTAGGAGAAGCAGGTGGTGGGGGCTTGGAGGAGATGCAGATGTGGTTCATCAAGGGCAGCTAAATACATCACTCAGTAAAGAAGCAGGATGTCAAGAAGAGGAGAGTCACAGTTAGGACAGCATACCCCTCCCCTGTGGACCGACAAAGGTTGAGGACGAAATTCTTCCTCTGCCGTCATTCATTCATTCACTCATTCATTCATGATTCCTGCCAGCCCTACAGGGTACTTCTAAAACTTTGTAGGAAAATGGATTTAGAAGATAAGTTTATAGGGTGGCCATTTAGCCTAATGGTTAAGATATGGGTCAAGATGCCCATGTCCCATACCAAAGTGCCTGGGTTCACTTGTTGGTGCTAGTACTTGAGTCCAGCTTTCTGCTAACATGGTCTCTGTGAGGCAGTGGTGATTGCTCATGTTCCTGTTCCCTATGTGGAGGCCTGGACTATTACTGGCACCTGGCTCTATCCCAGTCCAACCCTGGCTGTTGTGGGCATTTGGGAAGAGAATCAGCCAGAGAGGAGCCCCTTTCCTCTCTGTTTCCTCTAAAAAAAAAAAAAAAAAGAAGGGGGAGGGGACAGGTGCAATGGCTCAATAGCTAAATCCTTACCTTGCAAGTACCAGGATCCCATATGGGCATCAGTTTGTGTCCCAGCTGCTCCATTTCCCATCCAGCTCCATGCTTGTGGCCTGGGAAAACAATTGAGGATGGTCTAAAGCCTTGGAACCTGGCACCCACGTGGGAGACCCAGAAGAAACTCCTGCCTTGTATCAGCTCAGCTCTGGCTGTTGAGGCTACTAGGGAATGAACCAGTGGATGGAAGATCTTTCTGTTTTTCCTTTTCTTTCTTTCTTTCTTTCTTTTTTTTTTTAAAATCTGATCTGGGCTGGGCGAGGTGGTGGCCTAGTGGCTAAAGTCCTCACCTTACACCTACAGCCCGAAGCCTTGGGACCCTGCTTCCATGTGGGAGACCCGGAAGAGGCTCCTGGCTCTTGGCTTCGGATCAGCTCTGCTCCGGCCATTGTGGCCACTTTGGTAGTGAATCGTCAAACGGAAGATCTTCCTTTCTGTCTCTCTTCCTCTTTATATATACGACTTTCCAATAAAAATAAATAAATCTTAAAAAAAAGAAATTTTGGTGTAAAAAATTTTAAAGGCTTTACTTATTTATCTAATCTATTTATCTTTTAAAGGCAGACTCACAGAGTTTCAGGGAGAAACAGATCTATTTGCTGGTTCACTCAAATGCCCACAACATCTCAGGCTTGTCTGCGCTACACCCAGGAACCAGGAACTCCATCTGGGTCTCCCTGTGTCGGGGGAGTGTCTGCAGGGGGAGTGGGAGATCTCACATAATTGAGCCATCATCTGCTGCCTCCCAGGAACATTAGCAGGAAGCTGAGTCGATAGTGAAGGATCCAGGGCTTGAACCAGCTCCTTGAAGCTGCTATAGATTGTAAGCATCCCAAGGCATCAGCCTGGACAGGAGGATCTAACCCACCGCACCACAAGCCCCGCCCCCAGGTGCTCTAAAGCAGTGCTGGATGGAAGCAGCCTGCACCTTAGATTACTTGGGGAGCTTTGAGAAATGAGTTATGTCAGGACTTCATTTGGAACAATTAAATAAAAATCGCTGAGGATGAGCTGGAAGCAGTGACGTCTTTCCAGAGCTCCCTGGGTATTTCTCACATGCAAACTGGAGATGAGAACTGTCAGTCATGAGAGAGATGCAGTCATATCTCCACATGCTCCACATGCATTAATGTGATGTCTACCCTAGCTGGGGTGTGTACAAAGAGCTGTGAGGCACACAAAGAGCACACACTACACAGCAAAAATGTGCTAGCTACCTGCTTGAGAACACACACCAGTTTGGGAATACCAATGTTTTCAGCCCCAAGGACGAGCCAGATTCATCCTTCAACCCATAAGATATCCTGCTGCCCACTGGTCCAGCCTGCTTTGCAGGGTCGGGTGGCCCTGGTGTGATAGCAGTAGCTGATAGAAGTCTGTTGATGTGATTTCTGGGATAGTGTGACTTTTGTTGTGACAGAGGATGTAGCTGGGTCCTGCACTTTCCCCTATGACTTTCTTCCTATTTTGAACATGATGGACTCTGGCTTGTTTGTGATGGTGAGACAGCAAAGCAGAAAAAAAAAAAAAAGACCAAGGACATATCACTGAGGGCCAGGCAGTTAGGATGCCACGCCAAATGCCTGCCTACATGTTGGGGTGCCTGGGTTTGAGTCCAGCTTCCTGCTGGTGTGAATCTTGGGAGGTCGCAGGTGGTGACTCAAGTAGTTGGGTCCCTGTCATCTGTGTTGGATTAAGTTCCTGGCTCACTGACTTTTGGGGAATGAACCAGTGGGTAGGAACTCTGTCTGTCTCTCTGCCTCTCAAATCGAGTAGATAAAAGCTTTAAAAATTATCAGAGATGTTGGCCTGGCCATCACTGATCTATTCAAGCAGGACCAGTAAGCACCCACCTCTAGGCTCATTAGTTAAGAAAGACAAACCTTGGCTTCTGGGCTTCTCCT